TCAGTTTTTAATACATGCACAGTAAGTGAAATGAAATTTCAAGTACGTAAAATAATGCCTACAATAGTCAACAGTATCAGTGACACTCAGGATTTTGTAACTCAAAGAAACTTTTAGATCATCTAGATCCTAATTCAGTGTTCATTTTCACAAGTAAATAAACAGAGCCTAGAGAGGTAAGTAAAATTGCTCAAATTAAATCTACTTCATGAGGGGGAGGCTAAATCAATGTCATTTAACATGTAAAGTTTAAACGTAATGAATAAAAATCTGGGTATGAAAAAATGTGGCTATGAGTATCTTAGAACACTGAGCACTGAAATATTTTTGTTTAATTATAGTTAGTATTCTTTCAGGCTCCTTTACACATATTCATAAATAAACTTATACCAAATATGGTGCTTTCGATACCTTATGTTTTACTGGTGGCCTGGTCTACAGACAACCAAATCTGAAAGACATTAGACTGTAACAAAATATGGTGGGATGTAGAATTAACAGGAACTTCTTTTATGTACTAGGCACATTTATTTAAATCTTTCTTTTCTTACTCATAATCTCATAAATTTCTATGTCATTTTATATTTACTGTTACATTTTCATTTTAAATTCTAAATTATGATCTCTGATGGATCCTTTACCTTCTATTTACAGCTGTTTACTAAGACAAAAAATTGTAAGGTAGTTCATCTGTCCCACTTTTTCCTTGAATCAGTAAGTACTGGAGCATTTTCTAATTATATCCAATGAATGTGGAACTAATTACGTACAACTATACTGACTGTAGCTTATTTGCTATTGAAATCCTGGTTGCATATTTATGTTTGTTGATTCTGCTTCTAAATTACTCTAATTTTATAACTTATTACATTTTTGCCTTACTAAAAATGTTCAAATACATTCAAATAATCAAATGAATGTGAATAAGTGGGAACAGATTTAGCATCTGAGAAAAGGCAACTGGCTTTAAGATAATCCAGTGTATCAAATATTTATTTGAAAGAAGTAGAAGACAAAACAATACCATGAAGTTATATATTACTGCCAAGGCAAAGGTTTGGGAAAGAAAATAGTATAGACCAAACACTTTACCATCTTTGTTTTACATAAAGGGAGTCTATGATATACTGAGTTAAACATCTGTTTAACTTTCTATGAATCATTTAGATGCAGAATTATGTATTTTTCATTTTTGTTGCTACTCCTACTGCATGGTATATAAAATCTATTTTTAAACAGTGCTTTGTATATTTTTAAAAGATTCGTTTTAAGCACTTAAAACATAAAAGAATGAAGAAAAAGAAACCATGTACTGGCCCTAAAGAAAAATCTTAATTTCTAAAAGAAATAAGAGCTTACCTTTGAAGGCTACATTGCACAAGAAACTAGAAACAAAAGATAGCAATAAAAATAGCAGGACTTCTTACAAGCTTTAACAATGTACCCTTCAAAATTAATCTTCCATGATATAATAATTCTCAGGTGAAATTTCAGAGTATCTAGACATTTAGAAACAATAAGATTACTACAGTATCATTTAGAAACATTTTAAAGTCAAATCCTTCTATTACTAAAATAAGAAAGATTGAAATTAAATGAGAACTAAGAATTCAGCTTAAGCTAATGTGGCAAGGGGACAAACAAAATATAGGATTTAATAAAAGGTAGGAATTAACAAAAACAAGAAAAATATTTTTTTTTTTTTTAGTTTAAATAAACCAAAATAGATAGTAAATAAAACCAGTGGTGATTTGAGAGGGTCAATAAAATAGAATTTTGACATCCAACTATATATTGAAGTTAATATGAAATCAATTAATCTGTAATATTTCAGTAAGACCTAGTTAGGAAATGTTATGTTTTAAAAAAAAATCCCACTGACAAAAGCAAGAAATGCTATAAAATTGCTGGAAATAAGATATAGAAAGGCACTGGCAAAAATTTAGTGCTACTTAAGGATGTAATAGACTAGACTGAATGAAGAGACTTTGTGTGTTTATTGGTTAGGAAAATTAAGTATTTTACAGAATTTAACTGTCCCTTAACTAAGCTCTCAATTTAGGGCAGTTCCAATCAAAATCCCAAAGAGCTTTTTCTAGCTTGACAAATATCCATTTTAAAGTATATCTAGAAGATATGCAAAGATGAATCAATAGTTTTGAAAATGCATAAAGAATATTTTAACCATATATCAGACAGTACCAATAAAACTATGCACAGTCATGTATTGCTTAATGACAGATATGAACCGAAAAATATGTTAAGGCAATTTCATACTTGTGCAGACATCAGAGTGTACTTAGAGAATGGTTTAGCATACTATATACAGTCAAGCTATATGGTATAGTCATGATCAGATATGTGATCTGTTGTTGACTGAAACATTCTTATGCAATGCATGACTATATATTTGTTTTTTATGGCTATCTGACAAATCACTACTCACCTATTTAGCAGTTCAGAGTTCTGTCCATCAGATGTCCAACAACGTAGGTACTCAGGACATTAAGACTGACATCAATGTGTTAGCTAGGTAAATTCTTACCTGAGAGTTCTGAAAAAAATCGGTTTCCTGGCACATTCTTATCATTAGCAGAATTCAATTCCTTAGAGACATAGTGCCCTGTTTTCCTGCTTGCTGTTGGCCAGGGGTAGCTCTCAGCTCTTCAGGCCTTTGCCATATGGCCCTCTCCATGTTCAGTAAAAGAGACGATTCTCCCTTCCATTAAATTCTTCTGTGTTTCTAATCTCACAAACTTTGATTTTAAGGGCTCATGTGATTAGGCTAGGCCTAAGCCATTGTGACATGTAATGCAACCAAATCATGGAGGGGAAAATTTATCTTTAATCATGAAGATTAGGATAGTAAATCTCAGGGGCCATCCCTCTTTTCTCAAAGATACAAATTCTTTTATAATATGGGAATTTGCTCATTTTGCTAAGCCACAATATATTTTTCCATGAACAACATAAACTTTTTCTTGGAGTGTGTGGAAGGATATTAAAACTTTTGTTAACAATTTTCTATACTGTCAAACAATTCCAACTATATATTGAAGTTTGAGTATGTTACTACATTAAATCCCGACAACATAGCTTATTCAACTTTGCTGAATTCATTTATTAGTTCTAGAAGTTTTCTAGTGGAATTTTTGGATCTTCTAGGTATAGAATCGTGTCATCAGTAATATTTATTTCTCTAATGTTCTGTAGTTTTCATTGTAGAGGTCTTTCACCTCTTTTGTTACATTGATTCCCATTATTTAATTATTTATTTACTTGAGGCTATTGTGATTGTGAATGGAGTAGTTTTCTTAATTTCTCTTCAGTGGATTCATCACTGATTGTATAGGAATGCATTTGATTTATGGGTGTTGATTTTATATCCTGCTACTTTGCTGAATTCATTTATTCTAGAAGTTTTCTAGTGGAATTTTTGGATCTTCTAGGTATAGAATCATGTCATTCAACCAATATTTCCTTTTAAACAGTATTGTCCAAAACCAATGTGAGCCTCATGAGCAATCTTTGTAGAAAAATAAAATGCAAACAGGCTGAAATTAACATTTTATTTAACCCATTAAACCAAAAATATTTTAATTTTACTAATATAAAAATAGATATAGTTTATATCCCAATTTTGATGATATATATTTGATACTGACAATATATTTCAATTTGGATTAGTCACATTTCAAGGGCTAATGCATCTCAACATTGTCTTGCACCTTTCCATTGTCTGGCACATCTACTTGTAGACAACATATTGTGAGCTGTCTGTTACTTGCCAAACTCTATCTTATTCTTATAGATTAGACAGTTCACTAGCAGAATTTACTCATTATCAGATATTAAATTGATAATTGTGAGCCTAGCACTATGTCCGGTACTAGAAGAATGGCAACAAAATGACTGACATGGAGGAGTCAACTGAACCATTTGACTGTTTGCAGATACTAACACAAGTAATAGGAGTGGTCAAGTTTTTGCTTCATAGCATTTGACACAATTAGTAATGTTCTGTATTTCCTTACTAATACTGTTTGTGTGCGTCTGTTTCTCCTATGACATTCCATGAGGGAAGGAACTACATTTATTTACCTTGTTTTCCATTACAGCACTGGTAAAATAAATGCACAGACACATACTGATTATCAGCCTCAAACAGTTCTCATTTCATTACTGTTTTCCAGTAAGTCACAAAACATCAACATCTTCTTAATCTCCTCTTTAAAACAATTCTTATGGCCTACTTCAACAAATAAAAAGTAATCAAGAAATTTGCCACTGGTCAGTATTGTATTTATCCTATCTTCATCTACTTTCTTCCTTCAACACAAGTGAGGCACAAATAAACAAGTACAAGGTAAGAGCACTTTCCATCAATTTTCAGAATTTAAAACACACACACCTCAAAGGAGAGTGTAGTAAATACTGTTATGTACCAGTCGACAGTGGCATGGTACTCAAGGGTTCTAGACATTTCAGAAGCTCCTTTGGCAAATAATTGTTTTAAGTTAAACAACAGAAACACTAACTGCTGTGATTAAAGAAAACAAAATAAGCAAAATAGCATAAAATGACTAAAGGTGACACCTATTATCAGAGCAGGGGGAAATCCCAAACTTGTTCCTTAATGATAGCAATAACATTGTACTATAGAGTATGTCTGCTAATCTTCAGCATGCAAAGAAAATTTTATGTGGAAAGTTAACATCTGGAAGAATGCAAGAGTTGAGAATGAGAGTAGCTCTTACCATTTTATTCTGTCTACAATAAAATGGCAATTTAATAACATGGGTCCTATCCAAATTAGCCAGTTAGCACAAAAACCCTCCAATTCCTAATCAAATGTTCCCTGTTTTATAAATTACTGGTATCCATATGCCTTTTTATTTTATAGTGCTGGGGATTAAACCCAGGAGCACTATCTAGCACTGAGCTACATCCCCAGCTCTTTTTGAGACAAAGTCTCACTAAGTTGCCCAGACTGACCTCTCAGCTTCCTGGGTAGTTGGGATTACAAATGTGTAACACCACACCCAGCACAACATAAACATTTTTCAAAACTCCTTTATCAACTATCCTATTTAAAATGCACTAATTACTTTTTTGTTTCTTCTTAGGTGAGCATTCCAGAACTGGTGTAAGTTCAGCCTCTTCACTATGTTTTCTTTTCTTTTTTTTCTTTTTATGGTCACTTTGGTAACCACTGGAGTCACTGCACTGAAAAATAGGATCCTGATCCTCCTGGTGCTTCTTCTTCTTCTTCTTTTTCTTTGGCTCTTCCTCACAGAGGCCATTCATGTCATTACTAACCTGTAGCTCTTCCTCTTCCTTTGGAGTGATACCTGTAAAATCTGCTGGCTCTGTGGCACCATCATTTACTTCATAAATTTCTGGATCTTTCTTTTTCTTTTTCTTTTTCTTTGGAATTTTTTCAACAGATTCTTCAGTTAGAGTTTCTGATACTTCTTCAGAAACATCAGGGTGCTTGGACTGCAAACTATAAATAAACATTAAAACAATAAATAGCACTAAGCAAAAATAAAGGAACAAAATGATATCAAGGATAGCTCAGTATGTAAAAATTTCCTAAATGAAAGCAGCATAGGATACATAACTATGGTGTAAATTTCATATATTCTCTTTTTTTATCCTGTAGCCTGTTAAAACTTAAATTCCATGCTGATAGCAATAATACCGTACTATAACTTTATAAATTTCATTATTAATTGTTTAATTCTTTGTTTCTATATTACTCCAGAAGTCAAAAACTGGCTTTCAAATTTTGGTTTGGTTCAGTTCAGAAAAATTAGGCCATTGAACATTAAACCCAGAATTGTCAAATCAAGGACAATAAAAGAAAAAAATACTTTCAATATATATCAAAGCAATAGAGTTTCCCATAACTGTGTTTCAAATATGAACTTACCAGGCAATATTTATTTTTCCTCGAATGCAAAATACTCCAGCAGCATCTGAGTCTAAACGAAATACTTCAAATTCTAATTCATCACCCACGTTTATCTCCAGGGTTTGCCACTGCTCAACTGACATCTGTTCAGGTTTAGGGATTGAAGCATTAAAACACCCATGTACCAAACAGCCAATGTGGCTAGAAGACACTTTATTAACTGTACCCTGGGAAGAAGGAAGAAAGGACATAACATCAAGAAGACATCCAAAGAGTTAAAAGGTGAATCAAAATTTCTAGGCTTTAAACTCACTTCAAAGAAAAAATATCAAATTAATAGTATAATTTAATATGGGAAGTTTACCTCAATTACAACTTACCATATGCCATACCCAAACAATATTAGAGGTTTTAGAAAGCAAAAATTACATGTCAATTGTCTAAAAGAATAAACAACTAATCAACTAACCCACCCAGCCTCCACTGCAGGATTCTCTACAGAGTAGATTTTTCTATAACCACATGGAAACCAAGCAGAAAATACTCCGATATGATGATGTATTTATGAAAAGACCTCAAGGCAGGAATCATGTTTTTTAAAACTAGGATCGACATTATATTTCTGTGAACAGACTAAATTTCAAAGTGCATTCTTTAATGATTCAATTTAGCATGATATAAGCAGTTCTATTAGAAAAAAGTTTTCTCTCTATATGTAGATCTTGGGTATGGTTTTATCGGCTAAATCACAAAAATGTTTAACTTGTGTTATATGATTTTTGAGCTTAAAATGAAACTTCATAAAACATTTTCTTTTTTTTTTTTTTAATTTTTTTAGTTGCCAGTGGATTTTTTACTTTATTTCTTTATTTATATGTGGTGGTAAGGATCGAACCCAGGGCCTCACACATGCCAGGCAAGGGCTCTATCACTGAGCCACAACCCCAGTCCCTCATAAAACATTTTCTACTTTCCCCCAGGAATCAATATATACAAAGACTATGAATGAAAACCCTAAAAATATTTTTTAAAAATTCACATTTTCTAAGCTGGGCGCTGTAGCACATGTCTGTAATCCCAGCAGCTAGGGAGGTAGAGACAGGGTGATCACAAGTTCAAAGCCTCAGCAAAAGCGAGGTGCTAAGCAACTTAATGAGACTCTGTTTCTAAATAAAATACAAAATAGGGCTGGGGATGTGGTCAAGTGCCCCTGAGTTCAATCTGTGGTACAACCCCCCCAAAATTCACAATCTCTGAAATACAGAACTGTAAATAATATGGCTATATATTCAACACCATTTAGCATCAAACTATGGTACATCCATAGAATGGAATATAGTCGCATGCCATCCATGGGCTGTGTGTGAGCTGCTCTGCGCCAAAGCATACTGAATAGGAGAATCTGGTGTCTGGGAATGACCAGTGGACATTTCCTCTGGTTGACTGCCCTCACTGTGATCCCTATTCAAGCTCTGCCACAGGTCCCACACAGCCCCTCTGAGATAGGAGTGACTTGCTTTGTGTTGTCTTGCAGTCAGCAGGACTCCACCCTTAAACCTTATCCCTGCTTTTGGTGTACCCCCTTAAATAAACCACTGGAGCTATCTACTTTTCGTTGAGTTCCAGCTCCCCCCCATGTGGACTAAACCTATCAGGGGCTCCATTTATGAAAATAAATTTCTGACTCTTTGTCTTTTGTTCTTCACTAATTATTCTAGACTTTAATTTCTGAGGTGGCTTATACTCTCCTCGGCAAGAAGAACAACACCCCCCCTCATTGAGATACTGGCCACCACCCCTTAGAATATTATTCAGCAATAAAAAGCAATGAGCTATCAAGTGAAAAAATGGAGAGGAAACTTACATGCATGTTGCTAAATAAAGAAGTCATTTTGAAAATTGTGATTCCAAATATATGATACTCTTGGAAAGGCAATGAGACAGTGGTTTCTGGGGAATACTAGGGAGGATGGGAGAGGTAAACAAGTGAAGCCCAGGATTTCAAGGGCAGTGAAACTACCCTGTATGATACCAAATATATACCAAAATACATTTGGCAAAACTTATGGTTTGTACAACATAAAAAGTGAACTCTACAAACTTTATTGGAGAGTAGAGTAAGATACTCTGGCAATTTCTCTCCATAGATGAACCAAGCTGAAAAGCTGTTCCTGAATCAAACTAAGTTCACAAGAGCTAGGGAAATCAGGCAACCATAGTGCCTGCTTTTAGTATAACAAAAGATGTATTGAAGAAGGTAGAAAGTTAAGAGTTGTATGAGAGAAGCCTCCCAGTGGGGGAAGGGGAGAGAATTAAGTTCACGCCTTAGTTGAAACCCAGTGCTGGCAAAGCCCCATGACCCCTACAGCCAGGCCAACACCTGTGGACTGAGCTACCGGAAGTGCCTTAGGCTGGTGGCAAAGAGACTGCCTTACCCCTAACATCCAAACTTGGATAGCACAGTGGGAAGCTGGGCAGAAAAGCTGGCTTTTGGAGCCCCCCAAAAGTAGCCATACTAATATCCAATAAAATGACTTTAAATCAAAAACAATAAAGACAAGGAAAGTCACTGTATATGATTTTTAAGGGGTCAATTCAAACAGAAGAAATAATAATTCTAAATGTATTACATACACACCCAACATCAGAACACCCAAATATATGATGCAAGTATTAATATACCTAAAGGCAAAAGTATATTCCAAGAATTGTTGGGGACTTTTAATACCACACTTTCAGTAATGAACAGACAATCCTTACAGAAAAATAAACATCAATTACACTGTATCCTAGACTAAATGGATCTAACAGACATCTATAGAACACATCCATCTAACAGCTGCTGAATAAGTTTTTCTCATCAAACTTTCTCCAGGATAGATTACAATAGATCACAAAGCAAGACTCAATTTTTAAAAAATTGAAACATCTGAGTATCTTTTCTTATCAGAAAGCAATAAAACTAGAAATTAACAATAAGCTTTAGAAAATATACAAATGCATGGATATAAAATAACCAATGGATCAAGTAAGAAATCCAGTAAATTTTAAAATTTCTTGAAACGAAAAGAAAATAGACAAACAGACCAAAACCTATGGAAATAAGCAGAACCAGTTTTGAGAGAGAAGTTTATAGCAACCATCACCCACATCAAAAAGGCATAAAAATCTCAAGACAGTCTATTGCATTAAAAAGGAAGAGGAAAAATAACTAAACCCAAAATTAGAAGAAAAGAAATAATAGAATAGAAATAAATGTAAGAGACCAAAACAAAACAAAACAAAAAAACCAAAAGATAAAGGAAACAGAGCTAGTTCTTTGAAAAGAGAACCAAAATACACAAACCCAGAAATAGAAAAAGTAAAGAAAATGCATATAAATAAAATCAGATGAGGGCTGGGGATGTGGCTCAAGTGTGCGGCCCGGGTTCGATCCTCAGCACCACATACAAACAAAGATGTTGTGTCTGACGAAAACTAAAACATAAATATTAAAATTCTCTCTCTCTTTCTCTCTCTCTAAAAAAAAAAAAAAAAAAAAAAAATCAGATGAAAAGGGACCCATTATAATTTATACCAAAGAAATACAAAATATTAGGGATTATTATGAACAGCTATGTCAACAAATTTCATAAATTAAGAAGAAATGGATAAATTCCTAGAAACATACACATTTCTAAGACTGAATTATGAAAAATAATATAAAATAAACAGGAAACCTAAATGGATCAGTAGCAAGCAATGAGATTTAATCAGTAAAAAACTTCCCATCAAAGAAAAGCCCAAGATCACATGGCTTCACTGCTGAATAAGTTACTCCAAAATATAGAAGAGAAAGGAATTCTTCTAAGAACATTAAATGAGGTTTAATGCTGATACCAAAACTGGATGAGGGGCCACACAAAATCTAAGGGCCAATGTCCTTGATGGACACAGATGCAAAAATTTTCAGCTTAATACTAGCAAACCATTACAAGCAACATTAAAAAGATTAGTTACTATGATCAAATGGGATTTATTAGGGATGCAAGAATGGTTCAATGTATGCAAATTGATAAATGTGATATATCATAACAAAATGAAGGACAAAAACCACATGGTCATCTCACTTGATAGAAGACATTCAACAAAATTCCATATCTCTTCATAATAAAAATGCTGAAAAAATGAGAAAGATAAGGAATATCACCATACCATTTATAATAGGTCAACAGCTAACATCCTTAATGTGATAGAAACTGAAAATTTTCTCCCTAAAATCTGGAACAAGGTAAGAATGCTCACTTTCACCACTTTTATTCAATACAGTGCTGGAAGTCCTAGCAATCTGATTAGGCCATGAGAAAGAAAAAAAAAAAACAGGGCATCCAATTTGAAAATGAAGTAATTCAAATTGTAACTGCAGATGACATACTCATATAAAAACTCCCAAAAACTGCACACAACACAAAAAAACCCTCTAGAATTTTTTAAACGAATTCAGCAAAAATGCAGGGCAGAAAATCAACATACAAAAAAGCAGTAACATTGTTATATGCTCATATCAAATTATCTAAACAGAAATCAAGTAAGCAATGCCATTTGCAATAGTTACCAAGAGGTAAATAAAACAACTAAAGAGTTGATAGACCTGTACAATATGAAAAAAAATGAAAATTATAAAATACTAATGAATGAAATTTAAGAAGTAGAAAGACATCCTTTGTTCACAGAAGAATTAATAATTTTAACAAATGTCCAGTACCCAAAGTGATTAACAGACTCAATGTATTATGTATCAAATAACAATGGCACTCATCACAGAACTAGAACAAACAACTCTAAAATTTATATGGAACCACAAATTTCCTCAAATCGTCAAAGACATCCTGAGTAAAAAGAACAAAACAGGAAACATTACACTACCTGATTTCAAAACTTACTACAAATCTATAATAATCAAAATGTTATGGTATTGGCATAAAAATAGACTAATGGAACAGAATGTACCCTAGAAGTAAACCCATGAACATACAGCCAATTGATTTTTAAACAAAAGTGCTAAGAACATGCACTGGAGAAAGGACAGGCTTTTCAATAAATGATATTGGGAAAATTGGGTAAAAAAAAAATGAAGCTAGACATCTATCATTGGTTAAAAAGATCAAGTCAAAATAGATTAAAGACTTAAACGTAAGACAAAATTATTGAAACTACTAGAAAAGAGGAAATGCTTCAGGACATTGGATCATGAAGACCTCCCAAAGAACAGAAAGAGGCAAATGGGATTACATAAAACTAAAAGACTTCTGCACAGCACTCAAGAGTCCTACAAAGTGGGAGAAAATATTTGCACTGTATACATCTCCCAGACTATATAAGTAAATCCAAAACCTCAATAGCAAGAAACCAAATAGCTCACTTTAAAAATGGGCAATAATCTAAAAACATTTCTCAAAGGAGGACCTACAATCTGCCAATGGGTACATAAAAAAAAAAAAAAGTTCAACATTACCAATCATTAAATAGTTCAAACCAAAACAACACTGAGATATCACCTCACCCTAATATGAAGCCTTAGTATCAAATACTAATTAGTGATGGAGAGGATGTGGAGAAAGATGCCTTGCATAATATTGGTGCAAATGTAAATCAGTATATCCACTATGGAAAACAGTATGAAGTGTCCTCAAAAACAGTAAGCAGAACAACTACCACATGATACAACAATCTCATTGCTGGGTATAAACCCAAAGAGAATAAAATCTGTATGCAGAAGAGACAAATGCACACTTATGTTCATTGCAGCACTATTCACAACAGACAAGAAATGGAAAACAAGTGTCCATCGGTGAAGGAATGGACAAAGAAACACAATGTGTACACAATGGAATACTATTCAGGCAAAACAATGACATCCTGTCATTTAGGACAATATGGATGGAATTGGAAATCAACATGTTAAATAAAAGTACGGAGACATCAAATGAAATCTAAAAAAGGTGATCTCATGGAAGTTGAGAGTAGAATGCAGTTATCAGAGGTTAATCAAATGGGTATTTAGATACAGTCAGATAGGAGCAAGATGCTCTGGGGTAAGACTGCATAGTATTTTGATTATAGAGAACAATGTTTTGTGTATTTCATTTGGTGAGAAAGGATTGTGAAAGTTTTTACTGCAAAGATAATAAATGAGGAGATAAGTATGTTTAACCCGATTTATGCATTTACATCATGCAATGTATTCAAGCATCGAATGTTGCCTGTCCTCAAAGACCACAGGTGTGACCAGGTGTGTACAGTTTCATAATGGTGCCATAATGGCACCATTAATATGTGACTTTTATGTTTTTTTATAAGTTTAAAATAATACAAAGTCTGGGAACTTCAGTTAGTAATAGTGTGTCAATACTGGCTAATAAACAACTATAACAAACACATTTCACTACTGCAAGATGATTTCAATAATAGGGGAAACTGCCTGCTTAGAGGCAGGGAATATATGGAAATTCTGCATCCACTCAATTGTTCTGTAAGGCTGAAAAAATATATTCTATCAATTTAAAAAAGGAAACATTTTAAATGAGTCTGGAACAACTGAACAGCCACAGGAGGAAGAAAATAGATTTCAAGACTTATTTCACACTACATAGAAAGAAAAGCATAAAAAACTGATCACAGAGTTAGCTATCAAAGCTAAAATTACAAAGTTTCCAGAAGTTTTTAAAAGAATATCTTCACAAATTAGAAATGGGTAGGTTTCTTTGATAAGACCCAGAAGCAATAACCACAAAAGTATAAAATGGACCTCATCAAAATTAAGTGCTTCTGTTCATCAAATGGTACCATTAAAATGAATACATAGGCACGTCAACAGAGAACAAAGGTCTGAAAAAAAAATTCTATCAATACTAAAAAGAGCTACAACTCAATAAAAACAGAAAAATCCAATTAAAAATAGGCAAAGGCATTTTCTCTTCTCACAGTTCCCTTCTCTGGTCTTCCATACTAGGCTCTGCTATCCCAAAATAGCAGTGTCCAAAGCACCCACCAGAATCCCAAAACAAAGAGGGGAGGAACAGAGTTACAACAGGAAAGTTGCTCTATGTGTATAACTGAGGAATAGGAGGTTTCCTATTCTTTGCGATTCTCTATTCTTCCCCAACATCTATCTCATCCCTACAAAAACCTCCAGTACAATGCTGAATAGAAATGGTAAAAGTGAAGGGCTCTTCAAGATGGCCCAACAGAGGTACCTAGCACCCACCTGCTCTTCCAAAAAGGAACCAAAGCAACAGGTGTATAGCTACATATTGAGGTGACTAATTGTGACAGCAGTGGAAATGAATAGAGGAAAAACATACAAGGTAAGATCCAGAAACCAAGAACAGCACAGTAAGAGAAAAAAGATGTCTTGGAACAAGACATATGCTCTATAGCTGGGGAGGGGTTTCTCTGCTCTGGAAAGGTAAAAGTGAAAGAGTCCCAGTATTCTATTAGCAAGGATAAGGGTAATCCTAGTTACTGGAAAATTTCACAACCCTGAGAGGTTTTCAGTTTACTAGATAAAAATGTTGATATATCTACACCGCAGTCTGGCTTTGAGAAAAAAATTCACATCTCCCAGTGAATCCCTAAAGTACAGTAGCTAGAAGTCATCTTGAGAAGGGGCCTATTATCTGAATTTGCAGTGCTCTAGGAGTAAGAAATCCTTGCATAACACCATCTCTGGAACCTCACAGATATTCCACTTATGTGGCTCAGTAGGTAGGTGCTTCATGAGCCAAACCTGGCTTAGTACAGGGACACTGACAAACCTGCTAGGAGTTCTAAACCATGGAGGAATGGGCTGTTGTGACACAACATACAGGGAACAAAGGGTGCAATCATCAAGAACTGGGGTATCAGGGAGCCTGTCCTCAAAGACCACAGGTGTGACCAGGTGTGTACAGTTTCCTAATGGTGCCAGATCTAAAGGTAGTCACCCATGCAGTTCCAAACCCCTGTTTCTGTAGAGCAGTGCCTATAACTAACAAGGTTAGGAAAGAACTCTGGTTCCACTACTCCCCTGCCCAAAGAGGCCTGTTAGAGAAGTCCTGAGCAATGCCTCCATTCCTGTCACTTTGCCCCCAGGATGCATGGCCTAACAAGGTCTGCCTGATGCTGGATGCACTCTATTCCCTTGCAAACACACCAGCTGACAGGTGTTTTGCCCAGCTCTAGTCTGCTTAATCTCTAGCAGGCATATAGTTGAAGGAAATGGGGGATAAAAAGAACCCTGACCTTTTCTCTGTACCTAGGACTGTAAAGCTTGGGGGAAGGGTTAGAAGTTTTGCAAGTGGCTGGGCAAACCCAAAGTAGCAGCAGAGAGGAACATCATAACTCCTTGTACCAACACACCTACATGGATCCTCACCATAGGCTGTCCCTGCACCTTGTCTGCTTACCATAGGCTGTCCCTGCACCTTGTCTGCTCACATACTGTAAACAGGACTATGTATGAGTGGCACAGGGGGTGCTGTGATTTCTCTACTTCCCTCTTAAGTATGTGGGCCTGCACCACTGTCTAGTAGGAGGGCAAGTGCTTCAGGCCCTTAACAGTACTGGTGCAGCCAGTGCCAGAGACCCTTATAAGGGTAACAGAGCCATCAAACAGTTCCAGAGGATAGCCAGGCACAGTGGAGCATGCCTGTAACCCCAGCAGCTCAGGAGGCTGAGACAGGATGATAACAAGTTAAAAGCCAGCTTTAGCAATGGCAAGGTGCTATGCAACTCAGGAACATAAGGGTCCTTTCAAGGAGATGGAATATGTGAACTGATCAAAATTCACTGAACTGCCCACTATGATTTGTGCATGTGATTATTATATGTAAATTATGCCGAACTACAAATAAAAAATTAAAAACAAATGGTCAACAGTATTTGAAGACTGGATCTTATCTGTATAGAATAAATAAAAGGGATACTTTCACTTTACACTTTCTGTACATTTTAAATGTTACTTCCATATACATGTTCATATTTATGATTATTTACACAAAGCAGATGGAAGCTTAGAATTAACATGTACCAATCTACTGCCAACTTTACAAGTATAAAGTCCGGGGTACTATTTCTAATGTTTTAATTGCTACTAAAAAAAAAATTAAAAAATTCAAAGTCCTTGTGAATTCTGTCATAATGAAATCTAATCTGTATTTTTATTAATAGTACTGATGGTTAGTTAACAATTCTTATCTACTAGATATATAGATTTACGAATATAAATATACATAAACCAACACATATACACAAACAGATCTGATGGTGGAAGAGCAAGTAAAAGGGATAAAAGATACATTTCAATAGATTTTACAACCATTTCTCCATTTCTACCTTCTAGAAAACTGGAAGATCTTCTACACAAAGCCTTCACTTTCTTGGCATGAACTGGCTGCCCTGTCCTGTTATTCATTCATTTTCATTACTTGCCTGACCCCACAGCCATATGAATGTCTGTTTCTTATGAAAGTATACTGCTTGAATCCTTTATAAAAACAAGATATAGGGGTAGAACTGAGGAATTTTAAAGTACTGCTTTTTCCTTCCTCAAGATTATCATAAGGACTTTGCAAAAAAAAAAAAAAATCAACTGGATAGGTCACATACTTTGCACCCATGTGTTTCAAAAGGATGGAGTCTACAAACTTACCTCGATTGAAATGATAGAAAATATTTTACTTTTAAAATACTTTTTATTTATTCGAATTATTAAGTCTCTTTAAAGTTTCCCAAAGTATAAAATTATTTCAAGAAAGCTAAGAAAAAATGATATACATACCATAAGCTTTTGCCCAGGTTCAGGGCTGAAAATAACAAAATCAGCTTCAATGTTAAGATGAATGTGTCCTTGATCATCATATATATCTCCCAGTTCACCCACAACTTTGATGTTATCATATGCAATAGGGACACCTAAAAGACTGTTTAAAAAAGAGAAGAAGATGATACCTTTTATCCTGTTTTTAAACTAGGTCATTATGATACTGATTAGATAGTCTAAGAATCCAAAAAGTATTCATCTCCCAAATATATAACCCATGTCAAAAATGTAACAATGTATGCTTAGTCTGTAACAACTTTTTAGCAGTTCCACTTCACCAAAAGGTTCCAATGTGCTGGCTAAGTTAAAATGTTTAATAATGGAAACTGACAAGAAAAATGTGTATGCATTTTTTATTATTGAGTACAGGTAATATTGATATTGATACTCTCCATCTGCACTTGATGGAATACAAGGAAACCTAAGGGTTAAAGCTGAAGCCCCTGAATACTACAGCCAGTAACTTAATACAACAACAACAAAAAAAAATCTCAAAACTGCAACTGTTGCTAGTATAAGGAAATTTAAAGACATACAACTACATCATTTATTAAGAATTGACTTTTGACACTCTGCACATTTTAGAATCCGGATTAGTTGCCAACTATTATTTCAAAATATCATTTCTAACCTACGAAGGATAAAAACCTGGCAGCTTTTAACCATACCCACTACTTGGAGGAAACTTCCCTAACTTTCCAAGGCAAACCTGAAATCATTCTTCTATTCCATGTACAAATTTATCACTGTTCTAATTTTACTGAATCTATCTGTACATGTTTGGATTTCACACACACAAGCCATAGACAGCAGAAAGCTATTTTGTGTGTGTGTGTGTGGGAGACAAATTCCAGCATGATTCACATAGAATAAGAGAAAAGAATTTATCCCTAATAGATTTTATTTTAGTAAAATAGCCACAACTCCCAAGAAAGGAACTATAGTAACTACCAAGTTAGCAAAATCAAACTTAGAGATTTCCTCAGGAATGCTCTTTTTAGTTATTACTTTATGTATGTATCTTTCCTCAGAAGGAACCAACTATTATCAACTCAGACTATCTTACAGACACTGAAAATAGCAGGAAGGAAAGAAAAATTGCCAAAACTGACAGGAAAAAAAAAATTTAGAACCTTGTTTCCTTTAATCAAAGCCTCCTCTCTCTCTACTATAGAATGATGTTCAAGTGGAGACAGTACTGCTGTTCCCTAAAAGGAACTTGGGAATTTCTGGTACTATTCATGTTTGTTACAAACACTGCAAAAAAAAAAAAAAAAAAAAAAAAAAAAGAGGGCAGGGAGAAAGTCTGTTATGCACATGGCAGCCCTATACAATGATTAAATATCCTTAGCTCTGCATTACTTTTGAGTAAAGAGATGAACTTGTTTATAAATAGCTGGGCACATAATCTAACTTTAAAAATAAATGTATCAACATCTTTGCATGGTTTCAATATATGTTAAATTTCTAGGAATGGAATAATAAACAAATGGTATTTCCCTCATTCCCAATCAGGTAAAGAAGAGAATCGCGGGAAAGCACCAAATCCAAAACAAACAAAAACTGACCATCGTGTTTTACAGAGAAACTGTTGTTTGTACAAACGTTTATGTGCTCTTACATGGAAAGAGAGAGAATCTACTCAAGTACTAATACGAACTGTTCATTGTCAAATGAGAAAACATTACCCCCGGAGGTGGGAAATGAAACGTTCAACGTCAAAGAAAACTCCGTATACTGGGTCTCCAGACACCTGGAGCAGTTCCACTCATCTCCACTCCCTCGGTTGACAGTTCACCTGTAAGTTTTCTTTACTGCTCACGAAAGGACCTGGCAGAGATCCCGACCCGGTCGGTAGAGGCCTCGCTGGGCGAACCACAACTCTAGAACACCTCCGGACTACGCTCCGGTTGGGATGGCCGGTGCGACCTTTCCCACTTCTCCCCCTTTCGGTAGCAGGCCCTCCCCACGCCCAAAAGAAGAGGCTGACATCTACGTTACGGCGTTGCTAGCTGGGAGAAGGACAAGACACACAGACTCGTACCTCTCGGAATAGCGCAGGAGCTCGCCATCCAGCTGCTCTCGGATACCGGTGCGTTTCCGGTTAAGGTAGCGGGGCGACAGGGCGATGTGCCGTCGGTGCGGCGCGGCCACCAGACAGGAGTAGCGGCTGTTCACCAGAGCACAAGCAGCTGCATAGGTGGGCAGCTCTAAGCAAGGCAGGACGCCGACTGTTCCTACCACCGGCGCCTCGGAGGCCGCCTTCGGCCGCGGAGACTCTGAGCAACCAGCAGCCATGCGGCAGGTTAGGTCTCTCCCGGCGCGCACCACTGACGATAGCACAACCGCCTTTCCTCCGACTCCGGGTTTCTGCGTCATCCACCAGCTACCACGCCCCTACAACTTTTATCTCCGTTCGCTGCACTATGCAGGTCTGACCAGCAGGGGGAAACCTTTTTTGTTTTTCCCAAATCCTCTCACTTGGAGGACGAAGCCTGGATCCTGTGATTGTCTGAATACAGCATGTGTCAAGAATTTTCCCTAAGGCAGGCAAACGTGTTTCCACAAACTCCTCGATGGATTTAGTATATAGGTTAATGGGACTGCCCACTTTGATCATTTGCAGTAGTAACATGTTTGGGTAGAATGTTTCAAGCTTGAACTATTCAATATCAAAAAATATAATGGAGTAGATTTTATGCAGTGAACCCAGTCTTACACAGCAGCTCTCAGGCCTCAAACGCAGTATCTGAACAAGAACTCACGTTCTCTCTCCAATCCAACTTTACCTCTCATTCAGCAAATCACTTAATTAGAAAATCCTCCCACTTTTCCAGGTCTCCAAGCCCAGCTATGATCTATGATTTGTGTGCCCGCACATCAAATCAGCCCAAAGTAAAAACCACAGCTGTATTTTTACAGCTCTGTGTTCACGCTGTCAAAACTACAAAACTCCTTTCTTGCCTATGGAAGGTCAACTTGATGATCAAAAGCATACCCAGAAACAGCCTGGTCTGTGAAACAACTATGGTGATGATGTGTCCTTTTTAAAGCCCTAGGTAGGCTCCTGGTTTTCCCTCTAATGCAGACTTCCTTAATAGAGCTAATAAATTACTAGGCCATTTTATTATTTGTCCCTAGCTGCTTTCCTCACCATCATTCATTGCTCTCCCTATGTTAACAATATCTGCTTGCCATCCCTGCTTATTGAGCCACTTTCATCTCTCTCCCTCTCCCCATGCCCTCCCTCCTTCCATTCTTCAGCCATTTCTTCCACCAAGTAGTTTCTCTCACGTGGGTAAATTCTGTTTCTGTCAATTTTTAGTTTGGATTTTACATTCTCTTCCTCTGCAAATAGTTCTCTACCTCCTTATCTCCCTCTTTTCTCCTTAAGGATTAAGTAGTTCCCCATCTGTTTGTCACCACCACCACCATGAGCTTGTTTTTATTTTGAATTTGTTATAACTGGCTACTTGCCTGATGCATCACTAGATTCCTGTTTCACTGGGGGAAACACCATGAGGTTAGTCTTCCAGAGAAGCCCCCCAAAACCAACCCTTCCTTCACCCCAAAAATAACCAATGCATCCTAAATGAGTAATGTATGAATGAATTAATAAATTATATAACTACTGATAAAGGGTTCAGAGCCCAAATGAAAATGGGATTGTTGGGGCAGGCCCCAAATGGCTGTAGATAGACTCCCTCAAAGAAACTTCTGTGGGCTATGTTATTGTTAATGTGTAGCCAGGGCTGAAAATCAAATATGTTATGGTTAGTCAAGGCCAGAAACAGTGTGATTCAGTGCATATACTCAAGGTCATAAACATTAATTTGTGAGCATACGCCCCCTTATGTAACCTGTTGGTAGTGTGTCTTATTTGTTTGGCCTCCATATAAAAAGGGTCTATGAAAAAGACTCAGGTGCTGATGGGGGCAAAATGAGAGCTAAAATGGAACTGGCTGGGGGCTAAGCTGAAGCTGGAGGCTGGAGGCTGTTACCACCTCTGAATAAAGCATGTCTACTATCCTAACTGAGTCTTGCATCTTCTTCTACTTGCTGACTGCAAATCTGTTTCCTGGGTCAGAACCCCTGCATGACAGGGATTTAAACAAACATTTAGCATAGGTTATAGTTTATAAGTTCCAAGAGAAAAGTACAGCAAGGAGTGGTTTGAATGCATCCCCCAATACTGCAAAATCCTTAAAACCCTATTGTTTCACTTGCTGAATAGGGATAATAATGTGTATCCTGCCTACCTTTGAGAATTGATAGTAGGTTCAAATAAGAGAAATACAAAAAAATGATTTTCTTTTATTCTTCTTTAACTTAGTACAAATTCAACATGGAATGAAATTTCTCTCAACATCCAGCAACCTTTACCTTCTATTAAAAAGTTCTGTAACACCTTTGTACAGGACCCTTTTGTTCAGTGTTCTCAATTTTGGCTGAACATTGAAATCACCAAATGTTTAAAAACTCCTAATGCTGAAGAGGCATCTGTGAGGATGGCCTTAGGCCTGAGTCTAAGCAACTCCAGTTTTAAAAACTCCAGTTTGAAACCTGCAGTCTCACCAAGCATGCCTAACAGAGCCCTCCAGTATGACTCTCAGGCACAAACTAGTCACTTCTCCCCACTCTGATAAACTCAGAGTGAAGCTTCTAACAGGCTGTCCTCACCCAATAAGAGGAAAAGGTGAAAAGATCAGGGTGAGGACCACCAGACCAGATGTTTTAACCCCAGGGTAAATGACATAACTGAGAAATCCCGGCAACTGATAAGGATTAAAAGGGGAGTCAAAAGCCCCCAACCCCCAAATTTAGTATAAATAATAGAGCAAATGAGCATACATTCAGCCAGCCATTACTGATGCCCTCACGCTGAGAGCCTGATGAGGACCTGGACTGACATCTCAATACTGTAATGCCAGATTCGTGGGACCCCAATAGGAGCCACGAATGAGATTCCTCTCCAGGAGCTGAATCTGATGCAATCACACAAGAGTCTTTATTGCAAGCTCGAGCCTGGACTCACAACCCTTTCAGATGCAGCGGTCCCAGGGAGTGAATCCTGGTCCTTTGTTCAGTGAGATTTTATAGTTTTGGGGGGATACTCTATGCATCACAACATCACACAGCAAATCATTCCATACCTCCGCGGGAAAGTCAAACAACTCAACGTTGATTAGCAAATTCACTGGTGGGAACAAGTTGGGTAGGGGTGATTGGTTAGTACAAGAGGGGGATTCCTTTGAACTGATAGCTTTAGGCTATGAGGGGTGTAGTGCTAAACTACATGGTTTCCCAACATGTTATCAACCAACTTAGATTACTGGGGGGTCATCTGGCATCCCAGGTATTTCCTATCTCATGCTGATTGGTGGTTGCTAGGGGGTCCCTATGGGTCCTCACCTAGTCTAACTAAGTCAGGGACACCTGGCGTCACAGATCTCTCTTGTTATTTGCAAACAAACAACTCAGCAGGGTGGGTATGTGCCTAGGAGTGCTCTGTGGGTTTTTCCAAGGACAAGGGTCACACCCCTTTCCTTGGACAGGCTTTGCTCTGAGGTAGAGGCTGGTTTCTCAAAAATGGAGTCACATCAGTTTCTCAATACTTTGCATCTTTTGCTGATCCTCTGCATCTTCCTCACCGTTCTCAAACTCTACAGCCACATCTTAACCCTAGTGAGAGCCATAACTTCTCCCTACAACCCTCTCCTCCACTGGCTGTCAGCTCCACCCCAGGAGAAGCATGCCTTAGTTCTGACCTCATCACTGCAGTCTGAGTGAGTGTGCATCTATTGGACTTAAAGCCTAAGGCTTGAAACTTTTGAACTGACACTTGAACTTAGCATGCAGAGGGAATGTCTGTCATTAGCCTGTCATGATTAAATGTGTTTGCAGTGCTTAGAATTAATCTAGAATTGTTTGTTGTGAATTAATTAATCTAGAATTTTTTGCTGTGAATTATGTTTATTGCAGGCCTAGCATTAAGGATTGACATTTTCTTGATTAAGAACCTATAGAGTGAAATTGTATTATTGAGTGATTTGAATGAATAAAGCATTGAAAAGGGCAGAAGCGCTTACACATTCTTCATTTCTCCCCCTGGACTGCATAAGTCGCACCTTTGGCCCATTACAACAGCATCCTAGATCATTTAAATAAAACTTCTCCAAGTAATTGATTATAGTTTGCCATCAACATGCATCTGAATTGTCTGCAGTTATTTTTAAACTAAAAACGATTTGTCCAAAAAGTGAAAATTTTTTTAGTAAAAAAGAATCTGAACAATTCAGCCAAATATCTACACACTTTACCTGAAATCAAGTATTCTAGCTATGATTTTGAACAATATTAAATGTGGTGCATCATGGAACAGTTTTGAAACCCTTTATGTATCCATAATTATTTCTTTAACTCTGAAAATTATTAGAATGGAATTTTATGAAGAAATGGAATTGGACAGGATTTCCTTAAGCTATGTGTAACACTTTACATAAAAGGATTTCGTATAAAGGGTATCCCAAAGATACCATTGACTTTTGCTTCATAATAAACTGTTTCTCAATTTAGTGGCTTTATACAACAGTCACAACTATTAATTTATCTCATAGATGTGGGCTGGGTTCAGTTGGGCTCACTAATGGCACCTGTGGGCAGATATGACTTCATGTGACCACCAGACTAGAACGAGCTTGCTTTCCTGGCTGTGAAAGTTTGCAAGGATGGGGCATGACTTCAGGTATGCATTAGAAGTCCTACATCAGGTATGCATTACAAGTCCCTAAATATGTCTGCCCATAAAGAGCCAAACCAGTAGAGACAGGAAGGTTGTCATCACTGCTTTAGGCTGATTTTATCAAGTTGGTTGAATGAGTAATAATCATTTTGTTTACTAGCATTCCCTTCCTGCAACAAAATACCTGAGATAATCAATGTAGTAGGAGGAAAGATTTATTTGGCTTAACAGTTTTAGGGTTTTTAGTCCGTGGTCAGTTGGCTCCCTTGGTTAGGTCCTGTGGTTAGGCAGAACATCGCAGTGGGGAGCCTGTGGTGAAACAGAGCTGCTCACCTCAGGGCAGCTGAGAAATAGAGAAAGAAAGGGACAGGGGCCAACATCTGCTTCAAGAGAAGACCTCCAATGACCTAATTTCCCTACGTTGTAAAGGCTCTGATAGCACCAGTTACCAGTGAGGAATCCTGCTCCCTCCCATGTTGAAATACAACATTAGAGAAGCACGCTGAGGCAAGCACGTAAAGTAGGGTTTATTTAAAAAGGGGTAACATAGACTTCTCCTGGGAGGGAGAAGGGGGCCTTAGCTAGTATCCTGGTA